TCACGAGTACACGAGAACGCAAGTACGCACAAGTACGCATATTGAGAAAGGGCCATACAGTGCATTTTCACGCCTTTTTTAAATTTATTTAAGGAAACACTGTTATCACTGTGTAAAAAAAGAAAGAGCTCTTATTTTATGGAGGCTTTAAAATGACTAATAAAAGGCACAACACTGAACAGTTATTGTTCTTCCAGTGCGTGTCTAGACAAAATAATACCTCCTGATACCGTGCACCTTCTTTAGAGTTTCACAGCATTTCTCCTCAGAGTCGCTGGCGCCATTTCACACATGCACATAAAGCTAAGGTCACACACACTCCCGAAATTACACAGAGGTTTAGAGCCCCACCTGCTTCAAACCACAAATTGCCCCCAGTAATCACCATCCATCTCTCCTTTGTAGAGCTGGTCCCTTTGCAGAAGCTAATGCGTGCACCAACTAAAGAAACACCTGGCATCAGCTTACTTAATGTGCTGCCTTTAACCGATTACGAGTATCTGTAAAAGCAACAATGACCACACCAGTGAACTATATTCACTAACAGGAGAGATTCTGCTTTGCGGTTGTTTTGTGAAGGAAAAGAAAAAGTAAAAAGGGAGTAAAGTGCTCCTGGTGTTGTAGAATTATTTAAGATGACACATGGATGTTAATCTGACCTATTTTTCCATTCCAAAGTATTCTTATGCTCCTTTCTATTAGATACTGTTGATTTCCAGCAGCATGAAAACGAACTTGCTCAAACTTGCTTGAGTAAAGTTATCTGTCACTTTGACCTTTATGGTTTTGTCACCATGTACAAAAGAAAAAAGGAAAAAGAAAACCCACACACAGACAAAACACTCCTATCAGCTAGCAGTGACTGATTTAAAATCTGCCATCATGACTTTTAAATCCAGACACCTGTGCCTATCACAGTTCAAATAATCTTCCACTATGTGTTATCTTTAAGGTTCGATTTTCCATAAACATGTACTATTCAAGCTTTAACTGGCGTTATCAATCTGAACTTTTAAACCTGTTTTGACGCAAGAAGCAGCTGGGTTTTGTTTTTTTTAAACTTTACTAAACGTCTCTGTGATGAATAATCGTAAAAGCAAAAACTCACTTAAGTATAACACAGCCAGTCCCACTGGGTGGTGCTGTCCATAAGACCTGTATCCTGGTGCGTCTGCGAGGCGTGCTCTCTGTCACCGCGGGCGGGCAGTTGGTCATGAACTGTGTCTCGTCTTCATCAATGATCTAGAAAGAAAAGGATGAGCATTCAGTATTAAATGGCTTTGCTTCTGAAAAGGTCACTTTGAACTTTACGGCATCAAATAATGTTGGTGTTCCTAAAAATTCCCTGGAAAAAGAGAACCCAGATCAATCCAGGCAAGGGAATTCAAAAACAATGTTACAAGCAAGCCTCACAATGCAATACTGCACCTCTATGCTCTGACAAGTAGCATAGACAATATATCAAACACAGCACACACAATAGCTTATTAGACAATGTGATTACTTATATTATTTTAGAAGAGCGTGCATTAAAAACCAGAGGCAGGTAGAGTAGCAGCACAGAACAGAGCAGGCATCAGTGACAACAGATTACACTCTTCAAGTTTATTGAAACTGACGAACAATTACACGAAACATAAAATATTCTGTAGGTTTTC